ACTGGAAGTCAGGAAACTGCATATTATTCTTGTCTTAAACCAGCTTTGCAAAGTTCCCTTTTCAACATCATAATTTCTGATCAGGTCGTTATCATAAATAGCTTGGATTGGATTTGACTATGAGTAGGGATTAGATATATTAGATATATTCCATCCTTTTGAGGTCGGGAAAACAGATACCCAGATTGTTGGGTGCAATATGCTGACTCTGTAAACTGCTTAGTGAGGACTGTAAAATACTGTAAAGTGATATATAAGTCTAAGTGCTATTGCTGTATTAGGCAAGGCCAGCTTTGATGGCATTGGTGACACTGTGAGGTCCACAGACTGGTGTTTCATCTGGGGCCCTGGCTTGGGCACACCATTTGCATTATCAATGATGATGGCATCAGCTGGAGTTGGATGTTGGAGACTGAGCTGGAACTGAGATTAAAACCTGCTCTGGAGAAGCCAGGGAAGGCCTCAGCAGGCTTTGATACTACTAACTCTGGTATCCTTTTGGGCCAGCTGCCAGGCTAGGGTTGGATGACCTGGGAAACAGATTATGACTGAACCCTATTGCATGGAGCTTCAAGATCTAGGTCTTTGACATCTTTAGCTCTGGTCAGGGTTGCACTATCCCACTCGGACTCTTAGAGGTTCTCCGGACTCAAAGAGCAGGTAGCGGTCATGGATACAAGATTCTATACACAGCTTTAGTTTGTGCACCAGATGTGTCCTTTCTTTGATAAGGACTCCTTGTGCTTGATCACTCAAGCCCTAATCATCTCTGTTCTGGATTACTGCAATATATTTTACAGTATTTTCAATGGGATACCCTTGAAATGTGTTTTAGGGGCTACTCTTGAAAGGGATTCAGAAGCTTCAACTAGTTCGACAGTGTGAGCAGTCTTTGGGGCCCCTAGAATAGCCCATGTTATACCACTGCTTCTCAAGTTGTACTGGCTTATTGGTTTGTTTCCAGATGCAGTTCAGGATGTTAGTTATGATCTTTAAAGTCCTCTATAGCCTGAGTCAGGCTATATGATGAACTCTCTTGTTCTGCTAAATCAAGCCTGCCATACTCGTGCCAGTAGAGGAGGTCTGTTGGATCCCTTCAGTCAAAGAACTCTGGCAGGTGGCATCCAGGATAAGAGTCTTCTCTGTATAGAGCCCATCCTCTGGAACATGCTGCCCCCCAGAGTAAGAGTCTGCTTCCACCCTTCTATTCTTCCACAAGGACCTAAAGGCCTGTCTCTTTTGGTTGGCTTTGGGACCCAATAGGGGAGTACCAAATTGAAGGTGGCTGCTGTTCCATTTAGTGACCCCATCTCTCTTATTCACTTCCTGCTCCTCTTCTATCTATCTTTTAATTCATATTATTGTACTTCAATTGTTTATTCTTATTGTTTCATTGTTTTGCTATCATCATGTTTACATATTTTTCCATTTTACTGTTGTAAACCATGCAGAGTAGCTTTTTTTCAAAAGAGAGAAGATTGTTTTTCATATAAGGTAATCCCCGAGTTACGAATGTTCCCTTAGCGAATGTTCAAAGTTACACGATAAACGCCCTCTAGTGTTTACAAACAAGTCCCAAAATTATGAATGTTGCAGCACCATGGCAGTTATTCTCTGCCCTTACGAATGACTGCAGAGGCTCTGAAACATTTGCCCTGCCTGTTCCCCCACCGGGTCTTCAGGAGCACTCTGCCTGTGGAGACTCACCTACTTTGCGAAGATCTCCTTTCTGTCACAGTTTCTTTGCTTGTTTCATTGCTTCAGGCTTTTGGTGCATTTGCAGAGAACAGAGGGCTAACATACCATGAGATCATGCGAGATCAGTAGCGCAAGATCTCGCGCTACTGATCTCATGTGATCTCACACTTTGGGCCTCTATTCTCTGAGAATTGAGGCTTGGATGTTTGCAAACGGAGGGAAGGCTTAGGTCTTTCAAGCCTTCCCTCCATTGCTGTTTCCTTGTCAAAGCCTGCAGGGAGATTGCCTCCCTGTAGGCTTTGGCAGCCCTTTACAAAAAGCCTTTGTGAGCACCAGTGAAGCTTGGGAGGTGCAGGCCCATCCCTCCAAAGCTTTTTTCCTACCGACAAAGGCTTTCTGAAAAGGGCTGCTGAAGTTTAGAGGGACACGATCCTCAAGCAGTTTTGTAGGGAGAAAGGAGGCTCAGAAGGGCACACACAGCCCTCTGTGCCTCATTTTCAACACTGAAGGCTTCATCAAGCGGTTTGGTAGTGACAAAGGAGGCCAAGAGGGCAAAAAGAGGCCTTCCGTGCCTCGTTTTTCATCATCGAAGCCTTCATCAAGGGTTCGGTGGTGAGAAAGAAGGCCCGGAAGGGCATCTGCGGGCCCTCCACGTCTTGTTTTTCATTACTGAAGGCTTTATCAAGCACTTTGCTGATGAAAAAGGAGGGAGCAGGCAAAGAAACAGAGAGGCTGGAGAGGAGACAGGTCTTCATAAGGTAAGTGACCCGGCATGGCAGGATGGGGGACAGCAATTGTGGGGACCCCAGGAGAGGGAGAATGAAGTATCTCAGTGGGCCACAGGAGGACTTCTGAAGCAGGCAGCCTATTACATCACTAGCCCCCCCCTCCCCCGGCCTTCTCCATCCAGAGATACCTCATGTGCACTTAACGAGCTGCACGGTCAATTCGCAAAAGGAGAGAGTGATCATGTTCAAATTACACAATTCATTCCTACAAATCCTCAGATTACAAATGGAATGGGATAGCTCCATTACGTAACTCAAGGACTACTTGTACTTTAAAAGATTTTTCCTCCTACGTATATTTAAGTATCTTCTTTGTACAACCCAAATGCATAACTACCAAGGAATAACCTGATCAGATTGCTGTTGACCCGGTTGTGCTTTTTTTAAAAATATCCTTATTTCTGGAGCAAGTGACAATTTTTTTTTACTTTGCTCTAGGATTACTGAGTGTAAATTTGCATTTATTGTCTTGCTAACCATGCTTTGAAATTGCACAGATGCTATCCTATCCTTTCCTTGACTTTCACTCGTGTTAGATGCTTCTGATGCCAGAAATCCCTACAGAACAGCTTCATCAGTAGATTCTTTCTAAATGAATGTGTGAATTTGAAAGCACTGTATTTCAAATAAGGATAGATGATATTAATATTTGGTTTGTACATGTTTATTCCATTATTCATCAATTAGCAGCTTCTTTTTGCAGTTATTGAATGATGAATGATATGTATTTAGTTTTGGGTTTGCTATTTTAGTAATACACAAACTCTTACTCTCCCACCCTCACTATTGTATCAGTAAACATAATAATCCCATCAAAAGATAGTGGCAGAGTTTGCTGATTCTGTCTTTATTAAGATGTCTACAGTGTCTGTTCCTCATATAGGATTGTGTACATTGCCTTACACACACACGCACACACACACACACACACACACACACACACACACACAATCAAGTAACTTCAAGATGCTTTTGAGTGAAAAAAATTTCATCTGGTATAAAGTGTACACTTGATCTAAGACTAAAATATTATAAATTCCAAAACTAATTGTTTTCCAGATGCCTTGGAAGTACTAGTGCTTTCTAATCTGTAGAGAAATGAAAAATGAGGGAAAGCCAAACAATAGTTGCTTATAGTTGCTTGTTTTCACTGAGCAGTAAAGCATTTTTATCAATAATGATTCCAGGTGGACTGTCATAGCCCTTCTAATTAGCATAAAACGCATCAGATTTAGCCTATTGACAATTTCTCGCAAAATACCAGTGTGTTAAACTGGTAATGTTAGCTTTACATTAATCTTCAGAATCTTAAATAAGGATTCCATCAACCGCAAAAATTAAACAACCTGTACTTATTTATCTATGAAAGAATGAAGTGAATCCCATTTGATTAGTCTTGGATAAAATGGTTACTATGTGAATGACACTTGAAACTGTATTTTCTTGAAGGTTTCACATAGCATGTTTTTGATGTGGTCATTTGACAAGTTGACCTGCCATTATGTAGTTTCCTTCCAGCAAACTGTAATAGTGCCAGAATGATAACATGCATATTCATTATGAAAAAGCTACCATTGGATACTTGCATCTTGATATCTCAGAAAAATAAACAATGGCATTTGCATGATGGTAAGATTACATAATCATCTTTCTTTCCTTCTGCAGATGTCATTGTTTTTTTAACACTATTGCAGACTGAACCAGACTGATGTTGCAAATTAGAAGCAAATCACAATGGAAAAATCTGTGCAACCTAATGTAGGGTTGCAGTACAGAATTCCAAATAAGTGCTATAACTGAGCATCTTACAGTCTTAATCTTGTTACTTACCTTTCCAACTTTGATCAATGAAAATGTGTCATAACTGCATATAATTCTTCTATGCTTTGAAGGTACAATCAGCTACAGCAAAGTAGCCAAACTGGCACTTAGTTTCAAAAGGAATTAAGTTAAGAGGTTCATTTTTTTGCTGTATTAACCAAATTGAGTTGTCAATAATTGCCAACCACTACTACCAAGAATATGATAAAAGCTCAATTGGCAGCAGCAATTTTTGAGAAAGTGACTTTCATTTTTGCTTTTTTAAATTTTTTGACAAAGTAAATGATGCAATTGGGAGAAGCAGTGAAAATGAAGATGACTGCAGTAAGATTCAGGCTAAAATATTGACTTGGCTGCCAAAGGCTGGTGATGAGCCAAAGATAAAAGTCAAACAGAAATGTAATTTGCTAATGAAAGTTCTATATACTTCATTAAGTAATATTATATTTCTAGTAAAATGAATCCCACTTATGCAACACATTAGGTACAAATTCATATTGCATAAGACAATAAATGTATCTATTTTAATAATAGCTACTGACAAATGGATTCCAGTTTTTATGATTAAAAACTGCATCTGTAATATGCATCGACGTCATTAGCAACACTGTGTTCATTCTATTTGATAATTTTCAAGGGGATGTCATTTTCATTTATATGAATTTCAATTATTCCTCTCTTTCATTTTGGCAGAATCTGTACCAGAACAGATTATTAGGCCTGGCTGCTATGGCATCCCCATCCAGGAACTCACAGAACCGGCGTCGCTGTAAAGAATCTCTGAGGTACAGCTATAACCCAGACCAGTTCCACAACATGGACATTGGAAGTGGACTCCATGGGACAGTCACCATTCCCCGCTCGACCAGTGACACAGATTTGGTCACTTCAGACAGCCGGTCTACACTCATGGTCAGCAGTTCCTATTATTCCATAGGACATTCACAGGATCTAGTGATTTATTGGGATATAAAGGAAGAAGTAGATGCAGGTGACTGGATTGGCATGTATCTTATTGGTAAGTCAGCTATATTCATAGGATTTGTTGTAACTTAATTTTGCAAGTAAAACATGTATTGTAAATCAGATTTGTTTCAAGTTGAATATAATCCATAATTTAGAATCAACAAAAGCAACAATAACAATAAAAGAGGTATCAAATGGAAGAAAAAAAGAAATGTTGACAATGTAAAACTTCTGCCAAGCCCTAGCCTAGGAAATGAGTTTAGTCTAGCAAAATCAGGAGATTTGTGATTTAACTGTTGAATCCTGGTCATGAGTGTCTCATAGCAAGTCCTACTTCTTTTGTTATTTTATGTCAGTAGTGTAATTCCAAAATAGGTACTGCAATTAACAACACAAATATCTGTATAGAGAAAGCTTGTAGGAAGCATGCAGTTCAGTGGGATTTGGATTGTCAGCTTTTCCAGTTATGTTTACTGAAGGGAAAATGTGATTTGAAATAAATGGATGCTGACTAATGACCATTCATTCAATGACTCTTCAAATTTACAGTGGCATTAAATGAATGGTGGTCCTTGGAGTTACAGCTGTTTCAGCACCCCTGCGGTCACATGATTGCAGTCTGGTCGCTTGGCAACCCATTTTTACTTATGACCGGTTGCCAAGCATCTTGCGATCATGTGACTGCCATTGGCAACTTTATATGCCGTTCAGAAAGTCAAAGGGGAAGGTGGCAAGGAAGATCTCAGGTTGTTAAGAGTAAGTCTCCCCCTCATCTGCACACCCTTCCGTAGCCCTGTGCAGTCACACAGGACTTGCACTACCCTTGCATAATCTCCACAACCCCCATGGTACCTCTCACACCATCCTTGAACCATGCAGAACTTCTCATAAATTTAGTTAACATCTGCAGTCAGGACTGCAGGGATGAATGTTACTAAGCTATGCAGTTGCACTTTACAATTGCATTGCTTAACAATGGAAATTCCATTCCCAATTGCCATTATAAATCAAGGACTACTTGTATCTTCCATTTGGGAAAGACATTTAAAGTGTTGCACATAGAAACATTAGGAGTATTTTCTGTACTAAAAATAAAAGCAAGGATCTTTTTGGTAAATGCACCCATATTTTTAAACTTACTGCCAACACTAATTATGCTACTTTGTTGTCTTTCTAACTTCAAACAAACATTTTTACTCAGAAAGACTTTGTATTTAAATTGTTCTGATCCTGAGTCAGAATTGGTGTGGGGAGGTGCTTATTTCTTAATGTAAGTGGTAATTATGTTTTAATCTATTGTTTTGTGAAGCTTCTTGAGTATTGCTTTGGTGCACTACACTGTGTGTTTAATTTTAAGCTATGATGATTTAATGTTTTGCAAAAATTTATTTTCGGTTTTCATTTGTACTTCGTTTATAGAAAAACTGACCAAATCATCTCAGAAGCCAGTAGATTATCAACAGCAGTTTTCATTCAATGCTTAATTTATTTCTATCTCTGACTTGACTCTTAAATAGGAGTAACAATGGTAACCATTGATTAACATGATTTAGTAAAATCATTGCATCAGATCCAATGATTCTGCTCTGAATAGCTTGAAGAAATTTTTATCTCCTCCCAAGATTAGAGATGATTAACACAAGAATTATCATCCATTCCTCTTTCAAGATATTCATATTTCTCTTGATGTATCTCAGAATTACAGTTGATATAGAACATCTATAAATCTCTTGTTAAAGTGCCAGTTTTTTGAGATGTAAAAAAAAAAATCAGACCAAGATAAATCACTTTCAGAATTTTTTCCCAGATTTAATATAACATATAAGCTGTACAATTCAATTGAAAAACAAACTGAAATCTTTTTCTTGGAAAAAAGTAAAAATAAAAATGTAGAATAATATGGCTGCATAAGAGTTCACACCTTCTTATATGTGGCTGTATTCAGAATTAATCAATCACATTAAAACTGATGTTAAATAATAATCATTACTATTGATAGACCTGCTATCAATTAAAGTGATTTTAATCAAGCCCATATAAAGTTCAGCTGTGCCAGTAGGATTTTTCTGACATTTACTCAATAGCCTCTTAGAACAAACGCCAAGAGCTGCAAAGAGCTTACAAAGCATCAAAGGGATCTCATTGTTGGAAGATGTTGGCCAGGAGAAGGATACAATTTTTTTTTTCAAAGCATAGGATATACCAGTGGTGTCTAACCAATTTGATACTGAGTGCCGAAAGGGCATGTGCGCACATCCATAATGCAATGTGTGTGTGACACCCCCATATGCATCCTGTCCCCCCACATGTGTGAGCATTGTCACTGCGTTATTTTATTTACCAGCTGAGCTAATTATTTCTGGACTATCAGACTTTCCGTACCTTGCCAAGAATTGTTATCAAAAGCTACTACGCATGTCCATCCACCCACATTCCTTTACTCATATTCTTTCCTTTGTTCTCTTTCCAGAAAGGTCCGGCTGAGATAGCCGGCAAAAGCTATTTCAAAATGTAGCAATTAACTTTTCTTAGTTAGTGAGGTGTTTTATTTTCTTTATAACAAATAAATGAGTTTTATTAGAAACTTTTCTTCGCGTTTCTTTTCAGAATATTGCAACAAGGAGGAGCCACGATCCATCCTCTAATTAACCAGGGTGATTGTCCCAGAGCCAAAAATGGGATTAATCAACGCCCTGACATCTGGTAGCTCGGACGGTTTGATTTATGGCTTTTTTCCTTGTTTTGTTATTTCTGATAAGAGCGCATAGGCAATTAGTTTTTAGCTACTGAGGTACGCTAATTATCTTTGCTAAGATGCCCGCATGTACATGTGACCTCCCCACATCCGCCCCATTTCCCCCCCAGATGTGACCCCCGCACATGTGTGCATCTCCCACGCCCCGCATGAATGCATGGCAGAGACTTGAAAACCAGCTGGCTAGCTGGAGGCGCACGTGCATGCGCGGCAGAGCCAAGCTGGGGTGACGGCTCATGTGCCCACAGAAAGCGCTCTGCGTGCCACCTGTGGCACACATGCCATAGGTTCGCCATCATAGGGATATACCATGGAACACAGTGAAGACAGTCATCAACAAATGGAGAACTGATTATCAAGTACTGAAGGTCCCTCTAAAATTGATGAAAAAACAAAAGGAAAACAGGTTTGAGAGACCTACAGCAACATTAAAGCATCTGTAGGAATTTCTGACAAATACTGATTGTGTACCATATGTGACAAAAAATTTCCCATATTTTTCAGTAGTATATAACATGATGTAGGGCGGCAAGAAAGAAGCCTTTTCTTATAAAGAAAAACATCCAAACCCAACTACATTTTGCAAAAATTAAAATCAAGTCTGACAAAATGTGGAAAAATATGTTATGGTCTGATGAATCCAACATTGAACTTTTTGCCATAATTCCAAAACATATGGTGTAAAACAAAATAACAGAATAACTGAGTTGGAAGAGAACTTGGCAGTCTTCTAGTCCAATCCACTGCTCAAGCAGAAAACCCTATATTATTTGAGACAAATGGTTATCCAATCTGTTCTTAAAAACTTCCAGTGTTGGAGCATTCGCAACTTCTGGAGGCAAATTGTTCCACTGATTACCGTATTTTTCAGAGTATAAGACACACTCCCCCCCCTTTAAAAGTGGGTGAAAATTTTGGTGCATCTTATACATTGAATGTTGCGGCAGGGGGGAGGGGAATTGGTGCGGCGCTGATCAGCTGTTCTAGTATGGGCTGCGGCGGTGGTGGCTAACGGGTCACAGCGGTGGCAAATGGGCGATGATGAAAGGGCCATGCCAAATGGGTAGTGGCGAATGGGCCATGCCAAACAGGTGGCGGCGGTGAATAGGTCACGACAAACGGGCCGTGCTGAACAGGCCGCAGTGGTGGTAAATAGGCCATAACAAATGGGTGGCAGCAAATGGGCTGGACTGAATGGGCCATGGTGGCAATGAATGGATGGCAGTGGCGGCGAACGGGTGGCAGCAAATGGGTGGCAGCGAACAAGCTGTGGCGGTGACAAACAGGCGGTGGCAAATGGGCTGCGGCAAACGGGTCACAGCAAATGGGTCAGATGAATACTGGATGGATGCTGAGAGGCAGAGGCAGATTTTTTTTTCTTGTTTTCCTCCCCAAAAAATGTAGATGTGTCTTATAGTCTGGAGCGTCTTACACTCCGAAAAGTATGGCTTTACAATGAATAGAATAGAATAACAGAGTTGAAAGGGACCTTGGAGGTCTTCTAGTCCAACCCCTTGCTTAGGCAGAAAACCCTACACCACTTCAGACAAATGGTTATCCAACATCTTCTTAAAAACGTCCAGTGTTTGAGCATTCACAACTTCTGGAGGCAAGTTGTTCCACTGATTAATTGTTCTAACTGTCAGGAAATTTCTCATTAGTTCTAAATTGCTTCTCTCCTTGATTAGTTTCCACCCATTGCTTCTTGTTCTACCCTCAGGTGCTTTGAAGAATAGTTTGACTCCTTCTTCTTTGTGGCAACCCCTGAGATATTGGAACACTGCTATCAAACTGTCAGGAAATTTCTCCTTAGTTCTAGATTGTTTTTCTCCTTGATTAGTTTCATCCATTGCTTCTTGTCCTGCCCTCAGGTGCTTTGGGAATAGGTTGCCTTCTTCCTCCCTGTTGCAACCCTTCAGATACTGGGACACTGCTATCATGTCACCGCTATTCCTTCTTTTCATTAAACTGGACATACCTCAAAACAATGCTGTGCATCATCAAAAGTATACCATACCCACAGTGAAGCATAGTGTTAGCGGCAATATGCTTTGGGACTGCTTTTCTTCAACTGGAATTGGGGCTTTAGTTAAAGTGAAGAGAAATATGAACAGTTCCAAATATTAATCACAGCGCCTTTAGGCCCTGCTAAAATATTGGAGATAAAGAAGATTTTCACTTTTCAATGAAACAATGACCCAAAGCATACCTCCAAATCAACAAAACAATAACTTCACCAGAAGAAGATAAAAGTTTTGAAATGGCTCAGGCAGATCCCAGACTTGAATACAACTGAA